TTAAAAATTCTTAAATAGTCTTGCCATTATTCAAGAAATTTAACATGGATTTTGAAAATTCTACTTTATATTTGCATTTCAGAGCGTGCACTATTTCGATATCCGTACGCTGAATGGTTGTACAATTTGCAGAAAAGAATAATAGAGGCACATTATCTTTCACTAAAACTTTAAGTGAAGTACGAGCCAAACAGTGGTCTACAATCAGTATATAGTTTTTTGCATGATCAGGTAAACCAACTGAATTCTGCTGAGCCTTGGGTATGAATTGATTTTCAAACCAATCATTCATTAACATTTGTGTCATCTGTGTTCTTTTATTGCACAATATGTAACAGGAAACGTTTTACTCCTTTAAATACTCGCGGTAGATATTTTTTCCGATTACAAAAAGTTCAGACTTGTGCATTCCTGCTGCATTTGCACATGCTAAAATTGTTAGTCTCACCTTGGAATCTTTGACACAAGTTGGAGCCTTTACTGTAAAGGTTGACAAGATATTTTGTGATACATATTGCCAGAAAAGACCAATTTCATCAGTGTTGTAAACTTGTTCTGGAGATAACTTTTCACTATTAATAAGTTCAATGAATTCATCTGCAAATAGTTCAGGAGCTTCAGTATCAGCTGAAGCTTTTTTAGCTGAAATTCTTAATTGCCTTATACGATGGTGAGTTTTAAATTTGGTTGACCAACCTATTGGATATGTGCATTCAGTTTTTTCTCCATTAACATGTAACCTGTTAATGGTGCACCCTCGCTGCGATGCTGTCTGACCCATTCAATTATCACTTTGTCATGATCTTCACTTTTATGATATCACATAACTAAAAAATTTTCTGTTATTCATTGTGAGCGATGTGTCAGACTTCACAAAAAATTCAAACAGTTATTTTTTATGTTTTCTTCTGTCATATACAGTTGACTTTTTAGTGCCATACTCCTAGCATAATTTTGGCACGGATGTACTTTTATTCATTTTTTGCAGCAATTCCACTTTTTGTTAATGGGCATCGAAACATGCTTTAGCTTTGTAGATCCTGTTGCAGCTCCAGAATTAGAAACTCTTTTCGACATGATCGAAAGTTGAAACTTTTAATTTTCTTCAAATTGCTGTAATAAAAACAGCCCGCAAAAATAATTCATCAGGATCAAATCAGAAAGTTAAGGAATGGTGCATTTGGCTATATTTGTGGAAATTCCTTGGAATCAGTAAGGTATAGTTTTAGCCTAGCTTAATAGCGCCTGCTATACATTATTCGCTATGTATCCTGAGATTGGCAATGAAATACAAGTTGTTCTGCTAAATATTGTCTTGTTTCTATCATGCACTGAGACAGTTAAACCTGATTGTATTAGTTTAGTTATTGTAATTACGACCAATTCTTGCACATGCTTCAGGCATATCTGAATCCTGAATAAATAAATTCGCACATATACCTAAGGCTTATTATCTGTGGCTGGCGCTAGATATCTTACCGCCTGATGCAGTCTCTGCGGATCCTAAGTTCGGCTACCAAGCACCTCCTTAAGTCCGAAATGTTTTTGCCGCCCCTAAATTTTGGATCCTTGTACCTATCCCTAAGTTCTAAAAATAATTTCATTCCTTAATTTTGTTGCTCGGTGCTTCTCTAAATTCCAAAAAATCTTGTCTTCCCTAAATTCTGCCGCCCGTTGATTTGCAGCTGCGGAGCCAAATTATTGATCACACAAATTTTTGCTTAATTATTGTTTCTTTAATAATGAAGTATTTACTTAGTGCCTAAGGGAAATTAAGAATTGCAAGACTCAACATGTTTTTATTTATGGGGAAAAAATCAAATGTGCATGCATAACACAATTAAAAAAAGTTGTTGGAGGTTTTGAGGTCTGGATTTTAGATCATTCTGGATATTGGACGTCCGAGTTTCGAACTTTGTACTGTACAGTACAAAATTAATACCCGAACCTCGGGACCACCAACCAAAAATAAATAAATAAAAAATAATGGAAAGTTAGTGTACAAAGTTTGGAAATGTAATAACAAAAGGAAGCAGTTGTTCAGAAAATGACTTTTCCATGTACTAACTGAAATTTCTGCATGTTGCTTTCAAACACCTGCTGATCAGGCAGTTGTATCATGGCTAATAGCAGTGCATCAATTAATATTAATGTTGGCCAGGATCACACTTTCAATAATTGAGTGGTTGAGGGGACAAGGCTAATGCTACTCATTTGACCACCTAGTGCAATCCCTGCAGGTTCTAATTATACTGTCCAGTGCGCTCCTAAAACCTAAAAATTCCATCTTTAATTTTTGCTGCTCCTAAATTCTGACACCTGGTACATCAGCATCTGCTTTGGTGTTGGCCCTATGAGAGATCAACATTTTTCTATTTGACCGAACAGTAAGGTGAAGTGCTACTCTACGTGTCATCTCTCTAGATCTCTCACTCATGATCTAAAATCTGGTATTACCAAACTCCTGATGATCCCTGATCTTGGACTTCATACTGATAAAGATGTACATTATTACTATCTTGAAACAAGCTATTGTTATTATTCAAGAATTTTCTAAATATTGGGAAAACAACACATTATGAATGCTGCGATTAAGATGTAACTATAGCATACTTCTTAAATTGACCCAAGTATGTGCAGATTATAACACTTATTCATCAAAACGTATTCAAACTATTTCATGTGTATTTGTAGAACTTTTTTTTTTTTTTTTTTTTTTGCCTTTTATAAAGATAATCATTCTTTTAGAGAATACATATTGGGCCATTAGTATCTCAGCAAATATAAGTGTAGAACTAATATTAACACAAAGATTGTACAAGATTTTAACCATATCATATTGGTGCATAGTTTAATCTGTTACTTTAAAGCAGGCATCTTAAGGTAATAATGACCCTCCCCAAATTTATAATCGTCACTTATGTCATTACTACCCCAAGAAGATTAAGGGGTTTTAGCAAATTAGAAGACTTGGCCATTTCTGCAGTGGTAGGTACAATGTGAGCCAGAAGGGGATTAGTGCTATGAAGTGCCTGTTCTAAAGTATCTTTAGTTGAGGATTATAATGAAGTATGGAAGATCCCATTGCTGGATCGTAAGTAGCAAGGCATGTAACAGTGGATTCCCGATGTAGTGAATCTTTTTTAATAGGTTCTTCAAATGTTGTTGAATAAAGTGAGAAATTAGCAGAATTTGGGTATCATTATGAATATCATCTTTTCTGTGGGAATTTATTTTGGAAAATTTGTGTATGTTTCTGTTAGCCAGTGCAGCTGAGCCCCAGATGGGATTTGCATAGTAAATACAGGCCTTATTTAGACTTGTAGAGCAAGATCTTGTTATCAATGAATGGGTTGGTGTTTCTAGCAAAAAAGGGATGCAGAGTGGCTTTGACAGCAATCACATTTACAGTAATTTTTTTTTAATGTGAGGCTGCCAAGTTAATTTGGCTATATAAGTATAGCTTCTAGATACTTGTAATTTTGAACCCAGGGGATTGGTTCACCGAAGAGTAATAAATTATCTAAATGTGGGATATTTCTTTAAATGAACAGAGTGGCAGCACATTTTGGGGGATTAATTTTAATTTTGTACAGTCTGAGCCAGAGTTCAAGAATAGAAATGTAATTCTGTAGTGAAAAAGTTACCATGGTTTTTGGAATGTTGTGATAAGTAGCTGTGTTGTCTGCATATAAGGTTACATTGACACTTAGTGATCTAGGAATATCATTTATTTAAATGTCAAACATTAGAGGCCCGAGTAAACTGTGGGGGGGGGACAAGTAAGGGTTAATAATTTTAATGAGATGAACCAAAAAAAGCCGAGCCCCATGAACTTGTAAATAAGCCTGTCATGCCAGGTCTTTTCAAAGGCTTTGGTTTTGTCTAAATAGGAAATTCCTGTTTTCTCTTGTTCTTTCGTGAATGAATTCAACTGCATGGAGCAGTGAAAAACAAATCCATATGCAAGTAGAACTGTGCAGTTGAAATCCATATTTTCAAGACTGAAGGCATCACACAGCATACAGAACAGGTGCCTAAATAGCTGCAAATGTTTTTGATCTATTCATGACCACTGTCCTGAAGTTCTAGATTCTACAGTAAACATTTTCTCTTAGCACTTTCATTGGCCTAAAATATTACACGCTTTGCAGACCTTTGTTAAGGAATTTTTTAATCAAAAACTGGAGTATTAGTTTTCTTTAGGGATTCTTCAGATTAACTAGGCACATTATACCTTAAATGGAGTGGATTCTTCAGGTTGACTAGGCACATTGTACCTTAATTGGAAATCTAAACATGAACTGTGTTCACTGGTCAGGTGCTATTTCCCTTAAATATTTTGCCACTGCACAATACCAGATAGATAGCATGGATTCTACAAAATGTGTTTTCATATTTCTAGAAAGATTACAAGAATTAAAAAAAAATATTTGGAATAAAAATTTTGGTAACAGCTTATTATTTAAAATAAGAAATATCATTTGCTACTTTTAAATTTATTCTTTCAAAATATTGCATGTAAACAAACTGTAGATTGAAGAATAGGTTTTTGCACTTTCTGAAGGAAAATATTCCTATTCTGTGGTTCAAAAACATTATAAAATGCATGGTATTAAAATTTCTAAGTGCAAAATAAGCAACATTATTAACCATTTGAAGGCTGAATGCCCAATTTGTTCTAATTTTAATAAGTTTATTTCTAATAGTATTCTTAAATTTTGGCAAATAATGTATATTTGGCGTGCTCAGCTGAAGTGTTAGGTATATTTCTTCTATTATAAGGAAATATTTTGTTTTGTTTCAGTTAATTGATCATAATATGATATGTTAGCTTGTGGGACTATTTAAAATAAATTTTCTCTTTTGTACAATTACGAGTATTTTTTCCATGTGCATTCTGTATTTAGTTTTACATTTATCTTGTAATCACTTCTTCAGTCATATTCTGAATTCTAACTTTTTATTTATTCTCTCAACATTCTTATTATTGTTTTTAGGTCATCGTCGTGACATCACTGATCGAGAAGACAAAAATTATGATCTGCCATCTCGACAAAGAGGGCGAAATGACCGTCGAAGGGTAACTGATGAAGATGAGTCTGTATTGGATAGCCATGAAGTTTCAAGTATTGCCAGTATGGACCAAGGTACAGAAAGTTTAAATGCACGTAAAACAGTAAATTCTTTAAACAGAAATGAACTATTAGAAATGAATAAAGAATGTGCTTTTATTTTTTAAATAATATGATTCATTTGTTTATAGTAGGATTTAAATCATTCTTAGTGTTTATGCTTTGTGTATGGAAAATATATTATTTGCAATTAACAGATTTTAAACTGTTATGTACTCAGTGTTATTTCTCCAAAGAGTAAACCAGGCATTAGTTATTGGTCCTCCTGCTCTTTTGGGTCTTTTATCAGATAATTTAATAGGAACAAATTTTAAATTAAAAAGGTTTTAGTAATTAATTTCAGTAATGTTTCTTGATGCAGGAATTTTTTTTAAAAAAATGTGACTAGTGGTATATGATATTGTGGCAAAGAATGTTGCCTATGTTAGTCGATTTTGATCTCTCCGTTGTTGTGGCATCATCTAGAATTGATATTGTGAACCAATTACTCCTGATCTTTTTCATTTGATATTTTAATGGCATTGTTTGCCAAGGACAGCACCTGTAATCTCTTGTTCTGCAACTTCATCCTTCTACCATTCATGCCAAACCCAACTGTGTCCAGTGTAATTGGTAAATTATGTGTCTATCATGGGGGTGCTCGCATAGTGTCACAAGCAAAGTGTTTTGAGCCCATAAATGTAGTCAAAAGACCTTGATTTGTTAGTATATGTTGCTATTTGGTTGTGCGAGTGTGGCAAGAGCTTATAGTTTGCGGTACTATCATGCCATTGGTTGGTTGGGCTTGGCTGCAGAAGCATGTCAGTGCTGTGGTAGTTGTTTTGGCTGTGTGCGAGGGGTCACAGCATAGCATCCACTCGCATCCTAGGGACACCACTGTGGCTGCAGAAGACATTTAATTTACCACCTATGCCAGAGACTGCTCTTTATTGTGTAATAGCATCAAGCTGCAAAATAAGAGAATACATGTTCTTTCCTTGACACTATGGATTGGTCAGATAAACAAACGCATACTTCACCAGTGCCCTGTATCAGCAAACATCGCCATTAAAATATCGAACAAGAAAGATTAGGAGCAGTTGGTTGACAATATGAATTCTAAATAGTGCCATGAGATCAGAGAGGTCAAAATCAATGAGCAGTCACTACATGATCCACGCACATCTGCCACAGTAGTGACCATATGATTGGACATTCTACTGCCATCCCTCGCATGTAGACAAAACTACGTCACGGTAGCATTTTGCCACTACATGTTCGTAACACGTATTTTACCACCACATGTTCATGCAAACCAAAGGCATATTAGTGCAAACTACATGATTGCGCCTCATCCCCACAACCTGATAGCAAAAGACGGCAATAAATTGGAGTATTTAGAGCATACCCGCGGGTTCAAAACAAGTTTGCTCATGACTTGTGGTTTGTCATAGTGAGATCATTCGAATATAGCATCTATCAAATTAAAGTGCTGCATGGTCCTTACACTTTTGACTTTTCTAATTAGAAGTGTTTATTCAAACTTTCCTTCTATGTTACATCAGAGTGACACTGTGAGATGACCATTGGAGCTTTTATCACAAGAGCACTTTTCTTTTTTGAAGCATAGAGTTTTATTCTGCAAAATTTGATAAAATAATCCGGTTTCATCTGCACTGTAGATGCTTTTAGCCGCAGATCCTTCACAAATTTTGATTTAGCTTTTTATCCAGTCTATTACATGATCACCTAATACCAATGATTCATGACACCCGGAGCCTGTTGGACTCAGAACTGTTACTTCTGTCTCTATTATACGCTTACTATACTCTGAAACTGTACTGAGTTAGGATATTTGAAAATCAGCCCAAATCTAGTAATTGTGTTCCCACAGTACTTCATTGGGAATATTAATTTTCAGTTTATGGTATGATGCAAGGAAATTTTGCAATTATTAGGTTTATCATTAACCCTTTGACTGCTATGGGCACATATATGCATCTAGCGGAAACCATCTGTGTGGCCTATGGACGCAAATGCATGCTTGTTGGCGAAGGCTTTGTCTGTTTACTGCTGTCTCATTTAGGTTCGAAAATTATTTCTATTATATGTGTCCAACACTCGCAGAAAACTCGTACCTCATTCGTTCCTCAACAAGGAGGAAAAATTCAATTTCACATGAAGCGCTTCAACTGAGGGCAGTTAACAGTCAGAGGGTTAAACTAGGATATGTAAGGAAAACTTAGCATTAAATTTTTAAAAATCTACTGAATTTTAAAAAATGCTATGCAGTAATATTGTGTTAGAAATGCAAATGCATACTGAATTATAGGAAAAACTATCTAAAGCAGGGGTTTTCAACCAGTGGTATGCAAGAGAAAAATAGGTGGTATGCAAAAAAGCAAACTATTTTTAAGTATTAAATTCAAAAATTAAAATCCCAACATCCTGATTGAGTTTTTTCTCTTCTTAACACTCGTAAATTTATGCGATCTGAGCTGTGTTCAAGAGTGGTACTAAAGGTTTTCAATTTTTGTTTAGATGGTACTCGTTAGTCAAAAGGTTGAGAACTGCTGGTCTAAAGGTTTCCAAAATTAATTTCACTATTTGACTTCAACAAGTTAAATAAAACCATACGTCATAATAGAGAAAACTTGTCTATTATGAGCAGAGCCATATTTACTTACAGAAGCACAAAGCTAAATGTGCATCCCTGTGTGTATATATATATACATACAGGTGTATTAACTATATCTGTAACTATGTTCATCAAATTTAAATCATAATATGCTAATTCTTATAATATTTTTAATTGTAGTTTTACATATTTAAAAAAAATAATGCCGGACCATATAACACTCACCGGACCAGATATTTTGACCTTAAGTAGAGGTGTCCCTTCTTCAGGGGATACACTGAGTAAAAAAAAAAAAAAAAAAAAAGAGACAGTCCTATATCTCTTGTTCTACTGTGCCGATTGACAAAATTGAAGTTGCATTTTTCATGTCTTGAAAGCACGACTTGGGATATGTATTAGATTTATATTAGCATTGTTCTAACATAGGTATTTTTACACAAAATCAGACTTTTTCTGCAATAACATACCAATTTTTTTCCATAATTCGAGTCTATGGCTCAAATTATGCCTAGATATTAAATTTTGTAAAATTTAGTGTGAAATTTACAGAGAAATTCAAAAGTTTATCTTGGTGCAATTTTTTTCAGTTTGTACCAAGTATAATTTATCTTGACAAACTTCTTAATATATGACAACCAATTTTCCTTATCCTTCCATTATGCCAGAGCGGAAAAAAAGGCACCTTGTTCCTACCTTTTCACACATCGTACTGTTCTGCCAAATTATATCTTGGTAGACAAATCAAGATATAATTTGGATAAATTTTCCTGCGTGACAAATCAAGATACCCACCACGAAGCTAACATACATAAGAGCATGTTGTATCAATATTTTCAATTTCCACAATCATATGAAAGCTTTTTCAGTTACCTGAAATAAATAAAAAAGGGAGTTTAATAAATGCAATATGTTCCTGTGGTGTTGAATATGTATGTTGATGGAGCAATCAAGTGTGACCTTTAATTCAATTTTTAAATAGAGAGTAAAAAACTGTTTTTACAAGCAGTGCCTGACTATTGAATCAGTCTACAAAATTCAATGTTTTATGGAACTCAAAATGATCTTAATTCCTCGTAATCATATTTTCTTCATGTAAAAAGCAGGAGGTAAACAGAGGAGGCTCTTGAGGAGGGGTGCTCTGCTTAAGTTATCCGATTGCTTTAATTGAACCCTGTTTGCAAGCTGAAATGATGTAGATTATCATTTATATGAAATAACAATTATACTTATCTTTGGGAAAAAATGTGATATTCTTTTTCAGAATATGAGCAGTCAAAAGAATGGGAAGGGATCAAATTTGTCAAAAAGTAGATTACAAAGTTTTTACTGTAAAAGAGGCATTTTCATTCTGTGGACTGTTCTAAATTTAGTAATAAGTGATGTAATACAATTAAAAACACTATCATTCTTTACTGTGCGAAAGCTTTGGGAAAGGCATAGATGTTTGTAAGAGCACAGTGGCTGCAGCATAAGGCTCTTAAAGTACTGGTGGCTGAAAGTCCTCTTCAGAGGCTTATGTTAGAGGTGTTCCTCTCAAAATTGGATGGAACTTTCCCTTTCTAGTGGGTGTAATTCAGTCTCCTCCTAAGGGTAAGTGAAAATGTATTTTGCACTCTTACTTGATTTCTGGCTTCTTTTCCAGCCTACGAGCCTAGCAACAGCAGTCATTTGACTGGACAGTGACTGACATAGCTCATCTTATTGTTTCTTCTCAGATTTGCCTGACATATTATTGCGATCATCAACATTTGCAAATGTCTGCACTGTAAATAGAGGTTTGCTGTGTGTATAAAATTTACAGATGTTCAGTTCATTACTGCTAAAAAATCCTGAGTACTTTTTATTGTTGGATTGAACAATCAGGAGAGAGCTCACTTCATGAATTGCATTCACTTATACAGTAGACTAAAAGGAAGATTTTTGTTGCATATGGTGATATCTAGCTGCTATCTGATTTTTAGGGCTGCTTTAAAACTGGGATTTTTTGATGGTTTTGACTCTTACTCAGTTATTGAGTTTTGGAAGCTGTAAGCAGTATTTTGACAAAGATGTGCTATTTTCATTGATGTACTGATTTGCAGAAAGTGTACATACATCTTTCTTATGCTTCTAATTTTAATTTTCTATATGTCAAACCAATATATTGAGTTTCTAAGCTTTTATCATCATCATAGATGGGGATTATTGATGCAAGAATCAAATCGAATTCATTAGAACATTCCCCTACTACTCATCACCCATGTATCATTTCCATTCTCAGAAAGATTTGGATGCGAACTTGCCACAATGCTAACCACATCCACCTGGGGAAAAAACACAAATCAAATGGCTCCACAACTGGTAGATCAGGTGCACACACTATCCCCATCCACAGTCAAAATACAAACAAAATTCAGTATGTCAGTTTGACATTTAGAATATTATCAACTGGAATTGCCAAGTAGAAATAAATTTAAAATCTCTGTGCCAATTGGTACATCAACAGAATTAGCACATTTTTGGTTGTGTACTTCGTGGAACATCGAAACTCAATAATTGAATGGGACGGAGCCAAAATCATAAGCAACCTTGGTATAAAAGTAGCCTTAAAATGAGAAAAGTGCTAGAAATCAACACTAAAACAAGGGGAATTTGATTAAGCCATTCATTCCAGTTCCAGCTGACAAAGCAGGCAAAAGCTCCTATTTTACTAATGTTTATATGTGATTTCAGCATATAAACTTAGAACACAAACTTGCTTAGAACATTTTACTTTTAACTTCATTTTAACTGCATGTATCTTTTATATTTCTTTTAAATTATTTGAGAAATACTAGTCACTTTCAGAAGTGATCATCTTATACACAGTGGAACCTCAAGATACAAGTTTAATTTTTTTTCCAGCATGGAGCTTGTATATCAAATTTCTTGTATCTAGAAACAAACTTCCCCATTGAAAATAATGGAAATCCAGTTAATCCGTTTCACACCCCCCCCCAAAATTAACATAACAATCAATTTTCCTAGTAAATAACACTGCTAATTAATATAACCATAGTTTACCTTTTTCAAGAATCCTGACTGGCGATTGAGATCTGGGGAAGGAAAGTCTCCCTCTGGTTCAGGAAAGCTCTCTCTCTCTTCCTGGGAATTTTACCCCACTGGAAGCAGGTTCTGGGTTAGAATCGCTTAACTTTCACTTGGTTGCAGGTTGTTTTACAAAAACTTATCTAATACTTGCATCTGTCTCCCTTTTAAGATGCTCCTAAAATGCAACACTACATTGTCATTACATACGTTTATGGTATGCACACACACTGCTTTATTAGGGTGATTTTTTTCAAAGAAAATTTTCACTTCTTTCCACTTTGCCAACACTTCCTTAATCTTACTGAAAAAGAGGGTCTTATCTCTTGTTCCTCCTTCCCTAATGAAAGCTCTTCTACCACCTCTTGCTGTTGCTTCTTGTGAAGTTCTTTAAGTTCTTCACTAAGCTCCTCCACTAACTTATCCAGATCCGTACTTTTCTTCAAAGGTACAGTTTCTGCTACTTTTAGCTATACTGTGATGTTCACAGGTTCAGAATCGAAACCTAGGTCAGGAATACTCTTGAGGTCACAGATTTTTCCATGCTGAATTCAGGGTTTTCACTGAGACTTCTTTCCAACCCTTATCAATGAGGTTAAAATTATTTAGGATATTGAAGTGATCCTTCCAAAATTTTCTCTGAGAGTCAGGCTTGTATTTTCAGTCACTTCAGAACACCTTTGAAACGAGGCCTTCATGTACAGCTTCTCAAAGTTGGAAATAACTGGCTGGTCCATAGGCTGAAGAAATGAGGTGGTGTTGGGAGGTAGAAACTTGAATTTTATGAACTGAAATTTCATCAGCAAATCATCTTCAAGCCCTGGAGGATGTGCAAGAACATTATCAAGGACGAGCAAAGCCTTGAGTGGCAACTTTTTTCGTGAAGGTATTTCTTCACTGAGGGACCAAAAACTTTATTGACCCGCTTGATAAAAAATTTCCGTGTTACCCAGGCTTTGCTGTTGGCCCAGCACATCACATTCAGTTGGTTTTTCTCTATCTTCCCCCTCTTGAAAGCTCATGCATTTTCTGAGTGATGGGCAAGCAACTGCTTGATTTTACAATCTCCAATTGCATTGGTGCAAAGCTAGAGGGGGAAGCCTTTCTTTCATATTGGCTTGTGGCTAGGAAAAGATTTCTCTTGCGTGATGTAGGTCTTCTTAGGCATTTTCTCTCAAAAAAGACCTGTTTCTTCACACTTAACACATTTCCTAAGGAAGAAACCCCTCACTAGTAATAAATTGTAGAAATTCTGGCTGAAATTTATCAGCAGCAGCTGTATCAAAGCTCGTGGCTTCCACACACCAGCAACAGCTGCTCAACATCTTCTAGGAATTTTAGACAGTGCTTGAAAATAACGGTAACTCCTTTGGCCACATCAAGTTTCTTAATTTCTTTCTTCAGAATAGTACATATCATCGATGTCAAATGACCATAAGTCATCACCAAGTCTGTCAATCTTACACCATACTTATGTTTATCTATGATTTCTGTCTTAATTTTAACAGTCATAGCTTCTTTCTTTTTAATTGCAGCTCTATCTGAGGCAGCAATCTTCTTGGCAGGCATTGTGAAATAATTATTTTCACCTTAAATGTAAAAACAACTCGCAAATGCACAAACACGTAGATCAAAGAACACTGAGTGATCTGACAAGGGGTTCCCTGAGTCGAGCCAGATTGGGAAATGTGCCACGCATACCAACAGCCTAGCTCATTACTCGAGTCACTGCTCATATTCTGAGACTAATGTTTCGCTCGGTTTCCTCGTATCATGAATTTCTCGTATATAGAGGTGCTCATATCTTGAGGTTCCACTGTATATAGTTTTAAAATAATAAATAAAAACTATATTAATAATTATTAATTACTCTAAATTTCCAATGTAACTTTAAAAGAATACAGAAATGTAAATTTAAAAAAAAAATTCAATGGAAAGTAAAAGCTATTCTGATTTGTTTAAAATATGTGCTGCTTATACACATGGATATTATTTTCTAATGCTAACTGACACTGTTCTGAATGCTAACTGAAGTTCCAAAAGATTTTAGTACATGATTAATATTCATGAACGAAATTTAAAAAAGTTAAGGTTTATTTCCTAAAAATTACACTGTAGCAGAAACAGGTCAAGCATATAATACAAGTCCAAAACAATTATGGACTATATTATATTGCTAATACTTTTGTTAATTACCATGCATAATAAAGTTAGTTATGAGAATGACAAATTGCTAATTGTTTCAAAATGTGTTACACAATATGCTTCATTGTTCATAGAACAGTAAGACTGCTGAGCTTTGATAGTTAGACCAGGAATCACAGCCCATTGAACAGATCAGCCATATGGTGTTTTTTCCTCATGTGTAATGCGAGTACAAGCCAGTGTTTCTTCAAAAGTCCTGCACAGAGGCATGCCTGACCCTAGGCTGATAGCTGTCATGTGCATTATTGATTCAAATAAACCATAAAATTGTTCATTCTTAACTATACAGTGATTAAAGAGTAAAAGTAATCAGGTTGAAAATACTCCTTGCTCCATTAGGAGGAAAAATAAGATTTGCAGTGTTTTGTAATAAAAGTGAACTTTTTTTTTTTTTCCCAGAAAGCATATCATCAGTTGAAGGATCTCGAAATCGTAGACGTAGGAAGAAGAAAAAATCTAGGTATCACGGAGAAAACAATGCAACGGAGGATTACAGAAGCTCTGGATTTTCTGAACCTTCTACACAAACTTCTTCAGAGCGATTACACAGTAGTAGCTTTCAAAATACCTCTGAGCCTTGCACAAATGGTGAAGATATGAAAGTGTTGAAGAATAATAATTTACATACTTCTAAGCAACATACTTCTAGATCCTTAAATAATTTGTCTAATAAAACTGAACTTTCTGTCTCAAAGGAAAATTCAGTCATCAATGGAACGCCTTAAAATACATTTTCTTAGTTCTTTTCTATTACACATACTGCTGATGCAATTTCAGAATTAAGCTTTATTGATATAAAAAGAGGCTATTTTTTTCATCAAATTAACTTGTAATTTTCTACTGTGAGATTTGTGTTTGTTATTATTAATTTAATGAATATATTCAGTCATTTTGAAATATTTCCTTGTTAAAAAATTCCTGATAGTCAGTTATGCGCTTTATCTACCCATTCCTGATTTAGGAGGATTTATAATTTGATATATGAAGTTTTATAGGAGTGTGTGATAACTGTTTTCTTTGATAACTACTTAGACTGTGCCTTGTGATGTAAATATAAATCGCCTAACATAAAATTATTTATTGTTTCATTGTGTCTTTATTAGTTGAATTTATATCAGTTTTGCAAGATACAACAATACTTAGTTATATTACCATAGTTATATACTTAGTTATATTACCATACCACATATTAAAGCATTAAATGCTTTTAAACCATTTCAGAATGTTTATAAAAGTGGGATTAAATATAAAGACCGAAAAAAAGCAATATGCCATATGTGATTGCATTATGTATATTTATTATAATGTCAAGAATAAATCACAGAATTAATCTAAATTTTATGCATTAAATTTGTAATAATTAATACAAGCTTAATGTTTATCATTTCCAGAATTTTTTTAAATAGAATGAATAAATTGCAATCACTTCTTCTAAATTCAGCCTTTTATGTTACTGTTATGAGTATTAAAATATAAATTGAATAAAAAAAATTTTGTGGAGAGTTGATAAAAAGACCTCCATCAAGATTGTTTCTTGAGCTTAGCACAATTTTCGTAGCCAGTTTTTTAATAACTCTTTAGCAATCCAAAAAATTATTTCCACTTTTGAAATTTTATGTACATGTTTATATTTATGTGCAAATATTTAGTTTACTAAATCTGCTTTAATTCTAGATTCAGAAATTAAGTACATCATCTCTGTTCTTTGAATTTTTTTAGTTTAATTATAAGTTGAGTGCCAAATGTTCCCAGAAATTGTTTATGATATTAAATACTGCAAACTAACAAATGAAAATCAGTCTGGTTTAAATTTCGTGAAATTAATGCTTTTCTTGTTAAATTGAGTCACACTTTTCCTGTATTGTCCTAGTATTTGTTAGTAATATATTCTAATTTCTTTAAAAATACTCAAGTCTTAATAAAGTGAGATTTTTATTATTAAATATATTGTTATTAATATAACTTTGTACATTATTGATGTATACAAAACCTGGCAAGGACAATGTGTAATCGCACATATTTTTAATGTATTGAATTTAGAATGCTTAATGAGTATTTAATTGGAGATATTAAAAGCAACATATCAAATGGCATGTCCTTAGTATAAACTAAAATGGAAGAATTTTCTCTGAAGATATATTTCAGTTGATTTAATTAAATACATTGTATTTATCTTATCCAGGTAAGATAAATTATTCCTTTATGAATTTTCAGTCTTAGCCTACGTAATCAAAAAGATAATTTGGTAAGAGAGCTGATGATAAAATGTGATTGGTGTGTTGCACATTACATTTGATATGAATTTTTTAAATATATGCAGTAATTCACGGAATAAAGCCACTACTGGTTACAATATACAGGGTGATTCTAAATTGTTTTTACAAATTAAGAGGGGTGGTAGTACTCATTCACGCAAGCAATAATTACCATAGAACATAAGGTTGCATTTCACTCTGTGAGGCAGAAAAGAGGAATATTAGAATTCCAACCTGAACTTACAACAGTGTTGGGAGAGCGAATGAATGAGACTAAAAGTTGCACAGTCAATTTGGTGAAAAACTCGCAGAGTGCACAAAATGGATGAAACCAAAACTTGGCGTTGGAGTGTTAATTCAAGCTCAGACTTTAATGGCAAACACTCAAATAAACATCTTTGGTTGGCAAGGTCTCAACCTCGCAAACGATTGCAACAAGTTAATTATTTAATCAAACTTCCGCCGTATGCTGAGATCAGTATAAAATGTTCATCCTGTATTCTGGCTATCAGAACTTTGTGTCCCATAAAAGCGCTTCAAGTATGATCTCAGCACTGTAAGGATCTTCACGCCATCTTCTATCCAGGAGGACAGGATAGAAGATGGCGAAGGGGAAAACAACTGCTACCTTGATACTTGATATCAAAGTAGCAGTTTTTTCCTCCTAATAAATAATTTTCCCCTAATAATTTAGATTATTAACTTGTTGCAATTCTTTGCAAGATTGAGACCTCGCCAACCAAAGATGTGCATTTGAGTGTTTGCCATTAAAGTCTGAGTTCGAATTAACACTCAAAAGCCAAGTTTTCGGTTTTATCCACTTTGTGCACTCTCTGAGTTTTTCCCTAAACTGATTGGCCCACCAGCGGCCGAGCGGTAAAGTCGCTGAACACTGGTAGTTCGGTCCGAGGTTCGAAACCCGCGAACGGGCTGGCTGCATGGGTGTTTTCGTGGTTTTCCCCATGTGTGACGTGTATACGAGCCAGTTTCCCTTAGAAAATCCTCCACGAAGGCATCCCTCCCCCTTAGGCAGATAGCCCTAGTGTGCTTTGCCATAATTAAATAAACCAAAACCAAACCAAACCCTAAACTGATTGTGCAACTTTTGGTCTCGTTAATTTGCTTTCCCAACACTTGTAAATTCAGGCTGGAATTCTAATATTCCTCTTTCTCTGCCTCTCGGAGTGTAATGCGACCCTATGTTCTATGGTAATTATTCTCATCTAGATGAGTACTATCACCCCTCTTAATTTGTAAAAACAATTTAAAATCACCCTGTATATCAGTCAGCTAATGTATGTTAAAATTCAGTGTTTCAAGCCTATCTTTTGGGCACTGTAGCACTATGTTATGCAAGACTGATTTTGTGCACGGCTAGTAATTTTATTTCAGGTATAACTGGCAATATTTGTGGTGACCATTCCTTAAATATTGTCAGTTTCATTTGAAAGCTTTAATAGTATAATTTTTTGAAATTTTTTTTGCATAAGCTATATATTAACAACTTTGCAAAAAAGGTTTGTGGCCAGCAATTTACCTTATTATATCAAAGGGGAGTCTGCCAGATATGTAGCAGTAACACAAGAACTAGTGCATAACTAACTAAACACTATACTGTACTTTAAAATTCTGCCTTCCATTTCATCAGTGTCGCACAAAACCATGAATCTGGATAACCGTAGTTTAAAAAAAAAAGGTGCGTAAATGTTTGGCACATCTGTGGTTTTAAGAGAAATTGAGTTGCAGCTTTTACAGACTCATTCTTGTAACTTATCTCGTAAAATCATACTTTTGCATTATTTTATTAAATAACTATCAAAACCTGACAGAGAATGGATATAAATTAAACAGAAAAAGATGTAGATTCATGGTTTTGGGGCATGATTCATAAACCATCAAAATTACCGTTTAAAACGAGAACCTAATCTTGATAATATTAGAAAAATGATGATTCAGCAAACAAAACTGTTTATCAGTATTGACAGGCAACATATAGTGATTTTGTGAGACTTCAACATTTTTTTTTATTCCATAAATGTAGCAAAAAATGGAGTGTTAAAGTTCTCGTTTGATGTTTGGAAAAAGATTACTTTGCAATGTATTTTTTGTGGAAATTCTAATAAAAGATAGTATTAAAGTTACTTAAAGATAAAAAAAAAATGCAATTTAGCATAAATTCAATTATAAAACAAATCAGAAATTGTACTCAACATCATGGAAAATTTTGATATTCACATAATCTCAGAAAAATCTGCTAAAATTCAGTAACTTAATCATTGAAACTGCCACCTCGGTAAAATTTATTACCCTATGTAATAAACACAACCACTGAAATGAAGGAATTTGTTACATCATAAAGCAGTGGACAAACTGAATTTGCATGTTGGGAGAATGCATAGGCTGAATCAGATCACAAGCCAGAATTTGTCTTTTAAAAAAACTCAAAAATTTTCAACTAAATTTTTAATTTCATGTAATGTGTTTTTATCAAAACATGTATGAACAATCATGATAATGGAAAAGCAAAAATCAAAATTTATATTTTTTTCTGAAATCTAAAGGTCAGTAAGATGAAAGAACACTCAGTAATTGGTTGCATTCAATCTTGACAGCTAAATATTAAATTTTTCTAAGTGACATTTATTTCAAATAATTCTAACATGTTAAACTAACCACTAAGTAACTTACTTAAATTATCAAGTGGGGGGAATGTAAGAATAAATAAACCCTCTAATGTTAAACCCTAATCATTCGTTTATTTGTTAAATTTTTATTTAACACCAAAAATACATATTTGTATGTAAAATAATTAAAGTTTCTTCATCTTGCTACGACTTGACACTTGATGCAGTGTCATTTCTAATAAGGTTGTAGTTGTGGAGGGAAATTGCTACAAACTATTTATATAATAAACTGTAGATGTTCATTGGTCAGTCAAGTTGTTTCCTTTTACAGATAATTTTCAGTGTAATAATGCAATTTTCATTTGAAGAGCAGTACATGATTTAAGATGTTGGAAATAAGCAATTTTTTTTAATTCCAGTTGCGTTTCGCATAGCTACTCAACCATTGCTGTAATAAATCAGTGCAATCACTCGTCTTCAGTTTTTTTCAAGCTTTGCAACAATCGTCCACAGAAGAAGTTCACCATTTATATAACATTATCCATCTGCAAACTTCTGACACAAAGTGCTTCTCAATTTATAGTGCAAAAATTATTCTGAAAATTTTCTTTTTTCATTGTGCTTCTTAATTTTATGACTTTCCATTTTATCCCAGCTTAATTTACATGTTTTTATTAATTTTTGTCCTGGAAAGAATATCCTGTGCACTAGTTTTTTCTTTCATAACTATTTGCAGTAATTATTTCAAATTCATCAATAACACCTCATACGAAAATGGCAGATTATGCTAAATTAATGATGTCAGTATTCTCATCAAGTGCTATTGAGAATGCTGCAAAGTCTATCTCCCTTTTTTTATCTGACATTGTAAATCACTACTGACTTTGTTAATATTGTTAAGAAATTTGTACTTAGATAGGTAATTTTAGTAGAATTATAAGTACAATTGTATTTCTTTCGTAACATGAAAAATGTAAATAGAAGGTATGATGGAAAAGTAAGAATACAGTAGCAAGTGCATTTAACATTCAGAAAATGGGTATCTCGGTAATGTGGCGAGATTGCCAAATTGGCGATATTTTAGTTCAGTCCCTGTACACTGTATTATGCATTGAAATTGAATCAATGTAACTGACCACTGTTAGCTTCAACCGTAACTCCACCATTGTATTGTTTTCCAGTAATTTCGAAAAGCAGAAAACACTAAAA